TCCAGAGCCTCTATGAGCGCTTCTGTTTCCACTGAATCAAAGGCTTTCTTCAGATCGATAAAAGTGAGACAGAGTGGTTGTTTGTACTCTCGTGAAACTTCGCTGAGTCTTGTAATCGTGTGGATGTGGTCTATGGTACTAAATCCTTTTCGGAACCCTGCTTGTTCGCATGGCTGTCCTTCGTCCAATGTTCTGTCAATCCTGTTCAGGATGACTCGAGTAAAGAGTTTATAGACAACGAACAGCAAGCAGATTGGGCGATAATTGCCTATGTCGTGAAGGTCTCCCTTTCTGAACAACAATAAGGTCTTGCTGGTTTCCCTTTGAATAGGGACCTTGCATTCCGACAGATAGCGAGTGAAGAGCCGAGCCAGGGTGTTGATGAGAACTGGCGGCAGATTCTTCAGGTGTTCTGGTCTAATCCTGTATGGACCGGGTGTTGTTCTGTTCTTCACCGACGATATAGCATTTCGGATTTCGGAAGGGCGGACCGGTGGAATGACATATTCGTCGTCTTTCAATTTACATGACGGTAAGAGGACATGGCTAGCGAAGAGATCCAAATAGTATTGGTGGATGATTTTCTCCATAGCCCTTCTCGAAGCTGTAAGTGTCCCGTCGGGTTATCGGATCGCAATCATCTTGGTCTTATAGTTGGCGAAGCCTCGCTGGGCTTTGCGAGTGCTCTTCCCAGCTTCTGCAGCTTCTGCCATAACTGCTGCTTTTCTCTCTTTAAGGTCTTCTTTTATCGCTTCTCTGCGGCGTTTCGCAAGTTCGGACGTAAGGCTTTGGTTGCCTGTAGCTCGTGCGATTCCACGTTGACGTATCAGCTCCAGTGTCCGCGAAGACAAGCGTCTCTTCGTGACCTAAGGACTCTCGGCTTTCATAGCGTTAACGTGAAGATATTCAACGAGTCGATCGTATTCTTCATCGATGTTGTCGATAACGGTATCTTCCCAAGAGCTGACTAATGATTTGAATACATCCCAGTTTGTGGTAGTTCTAGGACTTCGTTGTTTAAATTTAGCGGCTTTTACTCCTCTCCTCGAAAAACGAAACGTTGCTCGAATGAGGCGATGGTCTGATCCCGTGTAGAACTTAGGAACAACAGCGACATCAGTCAGGCAAAACATTCGATTTACTAAAATGTGGTCTATTTCGTTATGGTACTCTCCATTGGGAGTCTCCCACGTCCATCGCTGAGAAAGAGGCTTTTGGAATTGCGAGTTACCATGTATGGTTTGAGTCGTCATGATAAACTCAGGCGGCCTCTCACCCTGTTCATTCCATTCTAGTCCGTGAGTCCCTATGACGCTTTTCAGACGTTCTTCTAGGTCCAATTTTTACGTTAAAATCTCCGACAGTGACCTTGAAAATGTATGATTTTCTCTTAAGAATTTTTCGAGGTCCATATAGAACGCTTCGACTTCGTCTTCGTCATAGCTTGATGTTGGTGCGTAAGCAACGAGCATGGTCAAAGCTGGCATAGAATCACGTCGTTTTAACCGTAATCGTCCGATACGGGTTGTCAGTTGTTCAAACAAATCAATGTTCACGGTCAAATTCGATTTGACTAGGACGCCAACGCCGCCGACACCTCTTCGATCGCATGTTCTAAGGAACAGTTCTTCTCCGGTGTCATAAACAGCGTGAAAAGGATGGCGCCTTCTCGTCTCAGCCAGGCCAATGACGTAGTACCTTATTCTTCTTGCTTGAATCAATAGATCTTCTACAGCGGATTCGTGAGCAAGTGTTCTTGCATTGTAGGTACAGATCGTCATTTTAGTCCGTTTCAATCTTGGCAGCCTAGTTCGGCCCTGAGATTCTAGCAGCCTCTCCGTACTCGCCCTGCCAGACGCTGCGTACCAGGGGCTCTTTCGGAGTCACGGGAATGGGGCCCATATTTGTTGATGTTTTTGGCATTTTGATACACAACGTATAGCTTGCCAGGCTCTAAACGTGGGGGCTGTGTACTCACGAGTAGCTTGCCAGTCTCTCTCGGAGCAGCGGGAGGAGCTTATTTGTTGGAGGCGACTCCTAACCGCCTCCCATGTACTTCCCAGCCGCTTGATTGCAGGCTTTTGGCCGACTTGACTAGTAGAAACAGAGTTTTTGTCAAGTCGGCGCTGCAGAAGCAGGGAGCTCTTCCCCTGAATCCACCTGCGTCTCTGGGAAGCACACGGTCGCTTTTGGTTCGCGTTTATTCCCCTATCCACACCTGGGGACGCCCCACGTGCCCTCGCGACTAACCGGGCCGGATCCCTCAGAGGGGAGGTCCGTGGAAGTTCATGGAATACGGTGATTTAACTCTCCATTTCCATTCTGCACATCGACCATTGGACGCATCAGACTCAATCACATACTTCATCACTCAAACCGACTGAACGCACACGTCAGACATTCAAGGTTCTCGCTTGATTTTACTGTTTTTACTAATATTCAGATTCATAACCGTTAGCTTCTCGTATTCCTAAAAAACCTGTCTTTCAACTTGTGATAAGACTTCACTTGGATTACCCAGCTTCTACATTCGTCAGGACGAAAAGTCGCTCCAATCAGAGTCATCATTCCTCCTTTCTTATGCTACGTCGTAAAATCCTGTCTTCATGCAATCTCGTGAATAGCCTAACTCTGGCGTTCCATGGGGCAATCGTTGCTAACTACCGGATAGTGCTAGAGACGGGGCTCGTCCTGCGCCCCGCGACGAGCATCACAAACACTCGGCCTTGGCGCAGCACCCCCAGGTAACTGAATTATCAAAATCATTTTAAAAAACTAGAATATCCGTATTTATCAATGGCGAATGATTAAATGATCAACTTGTGATAAGACTTCACATGGATTATTCAGCTAGAACATTTGTCAGAATTGAAAATCGGTTTGATCAGAGTCTTCATTTATCTTTTCTTCTACCTCTTTCTCAAGAGAGATTTCGGAAACTTAAATTGATATTTGTAGAACCTAGTAATCTAATAAGGACAATGTCTATTCTATCTGGTGAAGATCTTGTTTAGAGAGCATTTACTTTACGTCCTACACCAAAATCCGATTTTGATTCGTGTTCACTACTTCAACTCTTTGTCGTCCTTGTTTCATTCTCGCATTCTTATTTTCTCCTATACATAATTAACCAATTTTTGGAATTTTGTTGATCCGTCTTCACAGTGTTTTATTTTTACTGTGCGGACACCAGTATTTTTAGCAATCAATTCGTTTTTCCTCTTCTTCATGAACGCCACCGAATAGTGGTTAGCACGTCTCCTTGCAATATTGTGGACAGCCTGGATCTGGTCCTTGAAGCGTTCGTTGCTAACTGCCGAAGAGTATCGGGGAGCTGAATTTATCCCGCGCGCATCGCCATGTGCATAACATCCACTCGGCCATGAGCCTTTCACCCCAAAATGCTAAGTCAGCATTTTATTCTGAAGCACTAGAATATACTTAAATCTCAATGGCGATTGATCAGCGGCGAGTGATTGACTAAATTCACATGTCAACTCACTTCTATGAGCAATTTTGGTAGCCGTTGACATCTGAAGAACGTAAGCACTCCATCGATTCAGTCTCCATCATAACAGAATTTATTTCAATACTTCCTATGGTTGCTTTTTTTATGTCCACTTTTTCATTTTTTGCAAGCATTCAGTGTAGTCCATTACTCTCATGCAGAGGTGTATAAATGCATAATCGACAGGATACAAATGCGTCCCTCAGTGGGGATTTCTTAGAATCTCTGTAAACTATGAGAGATACTGAGCCATCTATGAGGCGTGTGCAGATAACGGAGGCAGAGTCAAAGCCCTTTCTGTACCAGGTTGAAATCTGATCTCTGTACATGTCACTTGCTCCCACACAATATTTTTTTGAAGTGCAGTTTTAGCTGTAGTGACTGAGGAACAAAAAATGCCTCTCCCAGAACGTATCTCATCACATTTCAATGATAAGAAACATGCTATATGTCAAGTTTATAGTCTTTATTTCACCACAGTATAATGCTTCACTGCGGTAATGTTGCCTTCGTTACTAAAGCACTCAGGCGGTATTCACGCAAAGTCCAAATTCACAAACACCAGTCTTAGGAAGTGTGCAATTGCCGCCAGTAGTACATGGACTTCCTGACGTGTACACCAGAGCTTCATGTTGAGGTTCACTGAAACGAATTTTAGGCTAATCAACGAACTTTCGAAAGTACTTGTTCTGTGATACTTACGGTTGCGAGAATACACATGCTGCCGACGCACGATTTTCACAAAAATCATAATAACAGCCGACGGCAGTGGCATTTGCCGTGATCATCTTGAATTAGACCGATTATAGTACTGCATATCGTGGCCTTTAGTCGAATGAACTCACATTAGCAAAGGCACTCAATCGGTTGTTTCCCCTGAGAATATTGTTAGGTGGCCAAATGGCATTTTCAATCCTCGCCCACTTCAAAATTGAGGTGGAAATCGGGTTTGGGCGTAAAGTTCGGAGATTGCCTGGTCCATAACTAGATTTTGAAAATAAGAAGAGTAGATATCGCAGATTCAAAAAGCCATTTTAGAAAAAGTTTGTTAGAGTCATTATCTAGAGCTTACTAGTTGAAATTTATAGCATTTGTTACTCCTAAAAGCGATGCGGATTGTGAGCAATTCTGTACAACTCTTTCAGCGATTGCTTCAAGATTGCAATCCCATCTCTGGAATGTCTGATATTTGCAACGATATTCTGTCAATCTGCGTCATATGCGAATTAGTTTCTCTGCGAATGTGCTGTGGAATGCTGTCAACTTTGTATTGTTGAAGTGTAAAAAGGATCACCAGTTTGTTCATATCACTTGAAGATGTGAGACGGTACCGGTCATACTGCCCCAGGGCAACACGGCCACGGATGGTGTTGATACTGGTCAGAAGAGTATCTCTCAAGAAATCTATCAGAGCAGTTCCATTACAGTTGAATGCTGTAAACAGAAAAATTTTTGATTATATTTAAGAGAATTGAGTGGTAAGCAAAAAATGGACCTCAGACGGGAGTTGAGCCCGCATTTCATCCATACCGGGGACGTGTGATACCACTAGACCACAGAGGCCACCGCTTACTCACCTCTCATTCTTCAAAATCTCTCTATCATAGCTATCAGCCACCAACCGTCAATAGCTTTCTTCGGGTAAACAATATCGCTCTATAAACCCAGCCAAGCTGACAGCCATTGCGCCACTGCGTCAGCTTAATTGAGTTTATAAAGCGGGATATTATCCACAGCTGTCTTTGTAATGAACGACAAAGTGACCGCTGATTGTGTTCTTAGAGGATGCACTATGCATTTGACTCCGTTAACCCGTTTAGTACAAAGTTGATTCTTCCATCGCAGCGCTCACCTGCAGGGGCGCTCTTTCATTGCAATGCTGCAATTTTGCATTAGAAATTCAGAGTTTTATCGCTACTGAAAAAATTTATTCTCTCTTAGTGGTAGAATATGGCCGAAAAGACTTTAATACGGTTTTTAGTAGTCGAAATAACGTTGATGCTTTTCAAAAAAAAAAAAAACAGCGCCACATTTTTGAAGGAAGAAAATAAATACTTATGAAAAGGTTTTGTCTTTAACTCTTATCGAAAATTTTAATAATATCTTATCAGTCTTCCATATTTTATCAAATTTTTTTCATTAGACACTTCAATAGCAATTCATCATTGTACATTGCCTCAGAGGAGTGAAAGGTCAAATAATTACCCACGTTATCATTTTGAGCTCATGAAATAGGCAAATTATGACATAAATCATTCAGTTTTGAACTCTTCTTAATCCTTTGCAATATCAAAAACTCTCCAAGTGAAAATTGCAATATAATAAATGGCTTGTCAGAAATCATGCTGCACGCTAGGCACGATGTCTTTTCATCTATGGTACTCAATAATTTTTCGATCAAGAGTGTCTTCTAGGGTCGGGATCTCTATAAAATATAAAAGCAACTTCTTTCTATCTTTCTATGAGTGCTATCCGTTTTGTATATCAAGCCCTATGCTTCATTGAGCATTATTCATCTCAATCTGTAGCACTTGATATGCGCACCAATTTTACGCCCTAAACAACAATGGGTGAACTGCCACGAAGGTGAGACGTATTATTCTTCTAATTGCTACTGCGCACTAATGAGGCTTTTTCATAATCAAGCAAAGGGCTGGAATATTCGATTATCAAGCTATCAAACAACTATCAAAAGTCGTACGAAAAGGTTCTAATCGGTAAATAAACCAAGGAAAGACGCGCACATTGCACAGAATGTGATTGAATCTCACAATTCCTAATGAAAAGTGGAAGTTTTCAAAGCAATAGAGCGTTTTCTTTCCAATAAAAGCTAGTCTTTTTGTATCGGTAAAGTTTTCCACAGCTAGAATGGTACCATATAAGTGCCTAAAAAATCCTGTTGTTGAAACGAGTTAATTACTCCGTAATCCTCCTTTGAACTATCAAACCGTACTATGAAGGTCTTTTCAAAAACTATGTTCCAGACTATAATAACTGCAGGCTCTTGAATGATTACAAAAGCATAGATATAATGAGATAATTTCATGTAGTTGGCGATAAGTTCCCTTTCGGGAGGATGTGGTTTTCTCGTTGAACCGTAGGGGACTTTTCGACATTTGAGCGTTCCTTCCACTAAAACTAACCTCACAGAAGCCTTTTCAATGATGTTTCATTATTCGATTACGACAAAGTATTCTTGAAATCTAAATTTTGCTGATTGAATATCAGATTTACATCACGGTTTGTGCCAATACAACTTACCCGTCATGCGGCGCGTGCAGTAGTGCCATTAGAAATTCTTTACTTCATAGCGAACGGATTAAAGATTATTGGAAGTGAAAGAATACTTAACTGGCTCTCACAGTGATCCGCGGGGGCCCACTGATATATCAAATCACTGCTGCTATTCTCCTAGTCAAGTTTGACACTATTCTGCTGACTCCCTAAGAATGGAAGTCGTGGTGAACTTCTGGCTCGAAATCGAGCCAAGGACCACCTTTGCGTAGTAGAACACCTCATATCCGAGCGCCATGCGCTTAGTGAACAATAAAAGTAGAAAATTGAAAGCACCTACGTGATTCATATTGAGCACTGCACACACCAAATTGAAGAAGCTAAAAAATTCAATATGTGTCGAAGGTAAATTTGTTTGCTTAATTTAGAGAATTTCAACCATTCCATATAGCAGAGATCTTGACTCAGTTTTCACAGAGGAGATCCATCTATTGTCGAATGGTTTAACGGTTTAGTGTTTGAGTTAACATACTCATTAAGAGTTGGTTATAAATTTTAGTGACTCTCGGAACTTATACTATAACGATGCTTTTTTCATCGGGCAGCGAAGGTGCTTGTGGAATCAGTGTAAAATTTGCTACATTGGGAGTGAAATTATTTCGAGAATTTAGTAGCTCTCGTGAGAGCACTGATTGCTACGATTACTTTGCTACTTATAGAGGCGCAACCCATCGAACTGTTGAAAGTTGGTCTTTATAGATGACTAGTTAATATGCGTCGGTACTGACTGTGGCAACAACTGGGAGCGCTTTGTGTGGTCTTCGTCCAAAGCCAATGACGTATTTGTTATACGAGAAATATATTGGATCAGTGATAATTCATTGCGAGGACAAGTCACTCATATATCATACATAGTATTTTATGTTTACAAATGAAATTTTCACTGACCACAACAACGGAGAGAAGTAGAGGCGTTGCTTGCGACATTTCGAAATAAGCACAGTGTATAGTGGTTGCCAATTCGCTTCTCGTTATAGAACACTGGTGGCCTTACACTTGTTATGGTAAATTATGTAGGAATATTCTTTTTATACTAAATGGTTCAAATAAACTTTGGCCGTCGGGGGTATTATGTTAATTCCAATATGATTTATGTGTAACGCGAAAGTCAACGATAACAGACAATCTCAAATTGGATTCAAATCCGAGACGAAATGACTATGACAGAAGTTTCCTGAAAACTTCCTATGTTGAGATTTTCAAGGTGATAACATTTTGCTTGGTCTCAGTTGGTGAATGTTGACTGACGTGAAAGTCTTGCACATCACTCTACATATTTGGGTATATCTACACAGTTGCTTCTACTATATTTTCTCCTTCTCTGGCGATTACATTCTCTTTAGTAGCGACGTAAATAAAAATTTCCTTGGAAAACAACCCCATTATTATTGTAGCGCCCGCGCTTGCCGTCCGAACTCGCCGCCTATCTTGCAGGAAATCAATGCGGTTTTCAACGGGTTGATAAGAAAAATCGCACACCACGTGTAAATCGCATCGCGGTACGCGAAAATCAACCGCACGACTGATATTACAGCTACTCAAATACTCTAGCCAACAAGAAATGAGCGCCGAGTGCGGAATCCACTTTTCTTCTGGTTGCTACAGAGCGCTAAAAGGTCTTTTACAAACCAAGTAAGCCATTCAATTTTTCAAATTTTGAGCTATCTAATGACTAGTGGAGGTCTTGAAAAAAGCTTTGTCCGACAAAAAATGCTCGAAATTGACGCACAGCCTTAGTTTCTGCTACAAAACATTGAAGAGCCCTTTCCGAAGATCAAGAGCAAACTTAAATTGTCGAAAATTGTGCTATCGAAAGACTACTAAAGCTGTAAAAAGCAAAACAACTCCCAATTCCCGAATGACTGATACAGGCTACGGAAAGCGAAATGATCCCGACATTTCTCATAAGCTAGCTGTAATGTTGTGTAGTGCAGAAATGAGCCATAAACGTGAGACAGGTTGAATGAAGTTTTTGGAAATCCTCACTTTTACTTTACATTAACATCAGAGGTGAGAATAGCGGATGACTGATTTCATTTCATAAAGTGGCTAGTATCTATATAATGTGGATGCAATCCACAGAATCTCATTTACATTTATATTATTGTTAACTTTTTTTTCTATCCCAAAATTTCTTTTTTCTCTCTCTTTTCATGGAAGATGTTTACAATGAAACGACAATCTCAAGAATCCAGTGGCCCTACCTATTTCGGGCCCGCAAAAAATGTAGATTGATTTCAATACAAACTGTGAGAATGTTTGGAAACCCATCGAGGTTGAAACGTTACAGCCATGCACACGTTTTTAATAGCCTACGCCCCACACTGTGGCACCGCCGAAGCGTACCTATGGTTCTGACGTGTAACAACCTCGCTAAGGCTTTGAATATTCGACTACACTGATTGTTTATAGCGAGGGCTAAAAACACTCGATGAGATGGATAGGTTGATTTTGGTGCACGCAAATATCACACTCCTTTTTTGTCGAATCAAAATGTGCAAGAGCGACAAAGTCATGGATTAACTCGCGTAGTTTTCTGATTTGATGGCTATGACCTATACACCAGATTTATTGAGGTAAATGACATGTCCTCCAATCGTAGGGAATTAATCTTTCAACTTTCAATAGAAAAGATCGCAAAAAATTCTCAAAATGTGTTATAGCTGTCTTTACGATGTACATTGTAGATGCCGTTTCAAGCTTTGTCAAAAATGAAGCAGCTTTTGGTGTTGTTATTAACGAAGAGCATTGGGGCAGTGATTTTCGATGAAAGTGCACATGACTTTTGAATCGATTCTAACCCCAACATCTACTGTGATGTCTCATCTACAGTTTTCTACACATTTTTCACCATTTCAACCAATGGAACCGTTCGAAAAGGAGTTTTTTTAAAACGTACATGGTCGACTTATGGGCAGTAAATAAATAGGATATAATAGAAGAATTATCAGTAGGGCTATTTTTATTTAAACTATGACGAAAATAATTACAAAATAATGATATGTTTGTCAAAAAGATGCTGTACAATACATGTCATCGATGAAATTCGATAATATTTCACTCTTAGTGTACTTCAAAAGTTGAGACCTCTAGTAGACTAGGTGCTTTACATACTTCATTTACTTGAATACCCTCATAACGATTTCCTGTACATTGGCCAGCTCCAAGCTTTTCAGCTGAGTTAAGTGAGACCATCTGCAGCCTGTTGTGAATATCCATGAAAGACCTAATCCACCACCTGTTTCCGATGCATATTATTGTTTAATATT